AGTAACATTAAAAGGTCTTGAAGAACAATTATTATCTTCACTTGTTAAAATTGAAAGACGTGAATTAGAAGAAATGCGTGAAACATTAATTCAAGAAATATTTGAAAATCAACAACAACAAGTATTGGGTTTGTTTCTAAAAAACAATACCAAAATTCTTCATTTATTGGTTTTTTATTTCGAATTTAGAAATATTCTTGATAATACAGAATTAATTGAAACATTAGAAAATACAAAAATAAAACTCAATGAAGTTATACAACCATTAAATTTAGGTGAAAGAACTCGACAAGATATTGAAAAATTACGTGATACATATACATATAGATTAGCTGCTATACGTGGTGCTGTACTTTATTTTTCTTTAGTTCAAATGTCAATTATTAATTCAATGGTTCGTTAAACAACATTAAAATAACCTATAGAGCAAAAGTCTTGGCACAAAATATTCGCTCATTTTTTGATTTAGTTAGAAATAGAGTTTTTCGCTATTTCCGAATATATACTCAGATTTTTCTTTTAGAGTCACAATAAACAATTATCAGTGGATTATGTGAAAAAGTCCGAAACTGTGTGGGTGTATGTGCAAAGTAAAATAGTGTTTTTGGCGTAGTTATTAATTTGTGTATTGGAACAGTTTCAACTTAACATCACTGTAGAACACTGAATTCAGTACAAAATGACATGTTATAATAAACGAAATTTCATCTATATGTTTCAACTCTAACGAGCTTGTTTCTATGGAAATCGGTATTAGTCAGAAAATCACTGTTTCAAAAATTGCTTTTACAAGTACAAAAGTTTTTAAATCTGTAATGCATAAGTAAATAGTACCCATTGTAGAGCAAGTTTTGCTCTACAAAATTGGCTATAATAGCATTATGTACAAGTATTTTTTTGGATCTTTTGAAAGAATCTACTGATAATTGTCGAATCTTACTCCAAACGATAATGTGGGACTCTCTTCAGATATCTCCTTCCGATTTCAATGATTTTCTGTCTATAAATACTATATAGTGTTCTAATAAAAACTTTAAAACAAGTTGGGTTCCTATTGAAATTTGACTAAGCTGTCGAATTATGCTCTGAAAATTTGCGCATATAGAGATCTCAACTAGACTAGCTTCCATTAAAAAACAAATTAGAAGCTCTGAACAAAGCTACCTCAAATATATAGAGTTTTTAAGATATAGGCAGTTTTGCATGGATACCTGTATACAAGATGCAGTTTTTGAAAGCATCATATGTTGAAAGGACATTGCTCAGAACTTGTGAACTTTATTATCGAAGCTAGTCTAGTCGAGATCTCTATATGTGCAAAGTTTCAAATCGAAATTCGAAAATATGATTTTTCCAAAAACTCGAGATCGTAGAAGATTCTTCACGAGGGAACGTTCCAAATGTCCGATCGCTTTTTGATTGAGACTATATTCACGTGAGAGACCATAGTGAATAGTGTAATATCCTAAGAGGTTCGATTGTCTGAGTCTTTGATCTTGAGATATCAAACTTTTATTGCATTTTTTAGCAGAAAGCTGTAATTCCTCTTAGGTCACAATGGAAATTGAATTTCAAATTTCGGCTTGAAACTTTGCATAAATGAATCTTTCGACGGCACTATCACATCGTGAAAGTTTCATTTATTTTTAGATCTCCTACTCTGATATCCCAGTCAAACAAAAATTTTGAAAAACGCGTTTAAACGCACAATCGGGAACCGCGATTGTAAGCCATTAACGCTCATTAGAAGAACGCACGAAAACGCGTTTGTTGGCGTTTTTTGTAACTTTATGGGCGTTAAAACGGCGAAAACTCCAATTTTGGAGCGTTAAAACGTATTATTTTTAAGTTCTAGAATAATAGTGCGT